GGGTCTGGGCTGCAGAGGCAGGGTCTGGGCTGCAGAGGCAGGGTCTGGGCGGCAGAGGCAGGGTCTGGGCGGCAGCGGCAGGGTCTGGGCTGCAGCGGCAGCCTTTCTGCCGTGAAACGGTATAGTCCAGGACAGGCCGAGTGGGAGCAAAAAGGACTCAGTAGCTCATGTCTGGTTTTGCTACCACGTGAGTTGAAGAGAGCCCCAGCTCTTCTAGAACTTTTAGCTGTGTGGCCTTACTGACTGGCCCAGGGTGCCGCACTCTGCAGGCTGGGAGGGAGGGCGGCTGCCCACCGCTGCCCGCTGCCCTCTGCCTCCCCTCTCTCTGGGTGCTGCGGCTGGCTTTCCTCTCGCCGCTGGATGCCTTGTTCAGCCATTTCCGCAGATGTTTCACACTCAGACCATGTTGTGTTTTACTTAAAAACGGTTCTACACACCATTGTGTCTGTGCCACGGTGGTTGTAGTTATTGTTGACGTGTAAATTCTTGTAGGTCTGGTGTTGTCCTCATTCTTAGAGAACCCCTGGCTGTTTTCCCAGATTTGTTCTCCTAGTTAACTTGAGGTTGATTTCGACAGATTCCAAAAAACACCAGTTTTTAGTTGTGGTTCCTTGAATTTGTAGGTTCAGAAAGCCGATAACTTTATACAGAATTTAATTCCATTTGCTGGGGCTGAAAGCAGAGACCACAGAGGCCGCACGTCAGTCCGTGAGCCGCGCGCACTGTGCGGAACAGGCGTCGCCCTGGCTGACTTCTCCATCAGGTATCACCCGATACCTGATGATACCACCACTCATGGACATGGTCTCCACACCTCACCAAAACCTGACTGGCCTGCCAGAAGAGTCTCAACCTGCACTCCCAGCAGCTCGTCAGGCCAGGGCCCGTTCCCGTCTGTGGGTGAAGACAGCCAGAGGGGGGCCAGCAAGTAGTCGCTCAGCGACACAGGGTAGAGCTGCGACCCAGGCTGGCCTTACAGGCGCCAAAGCTTAGGTTCCTTTTTACTCGCTCGTGTTATCTCCTAGACTCCTCTGTAATGAAAACCTTCTGACTAGATACAAGAGCATTCTGTTTACTCAAAGCCAAGGGTGTTTATTCTATAGAATCTTGAGAAGTCATATGCACCTGCTCATCACAACGTTGATACCCGGATGTCACTACAGAGGATATAGTGCTTTGACTCTGGCTTCTCTACTTCCCAGAAACTTGGCCGGTTCCTTCAGTTACCAGAGCCCATTCACTGTGGGTAAAGTTTAAGTCTACTTTAAAACTTCGTGGTAACTTGGTAACCTGGTAACTTTTCTTTTGCCTTTGACTTGTGAGCCAGGAATTCAGGAAGACAAGTTCTCATTCAGGAGCAACAAGATGGTAGCAAAGACTGGAGGTACATGAAGGGCTCCTTTTGCACATCTGAGATACATGGTGGCCGGGGATGGACACCCAGAGCAAGCTGGCAGCATCCTCAGAGTATGGGGGTTTCGGGGCAGTTGGCTTCCTCCTGTCAGATCGAGGTCCCAAGAGCAAGTGTTCCCAGAGGCCATGTAGAAGTTACCAGTTCTCCCAGGCTTTGTTTTGGGACTCAGATTTCGCCCCTCCCTCTGTACTGTTAGAGCTGACAGAGAGGCTGCCTGCCTCAGGGGAGAACACAGGACCCCGTAAGTGGTAAGAGGGCCAAAGAAAGTGTCCATGCCTTTAAATTATTAAGGGGAAGCTTTTTCTAAATTAATTTGTAAGTTTCATGAAGTCTCAATGAAAACACTAATTTTTTTTGATGCATGATAATTAAAGTTTGTCAGGAAAAAATGAGAAGAGAATTTAGTATATGTGGAGGGAAAAAGGGATTATCCATGCCTGGTGTTCTTAGGTTGGCTAAAAGTTAAAAATAAACCTGATCCTTACTTCACTCTTTAAAATAAATTCTAAGTGGATCACTGTTTAAAATGCAAAGTGAAGCCATTAAGTTCTGAAAGAATGCACAGGTTAAAGTGGCCACAGTATTCTGTGCGGGAGGAAGACTCAAGTCATTTAAGGAGAAGTTGGATATTTCTACTTCACAAGATTAAAAAACTTTACATAAAGATACTCAGCTTTCCCCATGCGTTAGACAGACTTTCCTTCCAAGTTGGGAGAGGTCCGAAGTTGAGACCCAAGGTTGGCTGGGTCGCAGGAAAATAGGCTCTGTCAGCAATGCTCGCTAGTGCCCCTGTGGGAAACATTTGGCAGTAATGATCAAAACTTCACTTGGATGCTGCAGTCCCATCTTGGCTCCTGAGGGTCGCGCACAAGGACACTCATGGCAGCATCCTTTCTTTACAGACTAGAAACAGTGAAACATGTTTGCGGAGAGGCGATGGCTAGAATAAACTACGGCCCATCCAGCTCAGTGAGACCCCAGCTGAAAATGGACCTCAGGAACGCCAGGAAACGTGTTTAGTGACTTAGAGAAGGACTAGAAGATACACACATTAGAGACATACTTTCCCCCAAATGCAGAATGTTTATCCAGCATTATAAAGATTTTCAAAATGTAGGTTGAAAGTAAACTGCATATTCCACACCCTTGCACCCATCACTGAAGGCCGCAATTAATGTGGCGTTCGCGCTATGGTGTTCTAAATGCTTGGTCACCGCCGGTCAGTCCCCCTTATTTTTGAGGCAGCTTTATGTTTCATCACCAGCGTGTCAGCGTGTTCAGGTTAAGGTAGATAACTTCTAATCTGTCGAGGGGAAGTGTGCAGGGAGCCTTCTCTTCCTTGAAAGAGTACTAGAGGGCAGCAGGAAGCAGAAGGAGAACTGAACAACCTCACGCTCCGGGGTCCCATGACCCCAACTTGAGTGGGGTCCGTTTCCAGTTGAGCAAGTCCCATCTTTCTTCTGAGGAGCCAGGGCTGTGGTGAGGATTGAAGGTGCAATCACCAGCACAGAGCAGGTGTTTGCTGAGTCAGAGCTGGCGCCTCAGGCTACCTAGGGGCCCTGAAGGAGTGACTGAAGTCAGTGACTGAAACCTCTAAAATGTCTCTCCCCTCAGAGCGCTCTGCCATTTGGTCCTGAAGCAGTACAGAGAAGCAGTGGAGGATTGCACAGACGCCCTCAAGCTGGACGGGAAGAATGTGAAGGCATTTTATAGACGAGCTCAAGCCTACAAGGCACTCAAGGTAAAAAGATCCTGGACGAAAGGTACCAACAGAGCTACAGTCTGTTGTGCCTGTGGTGGCTCTTCTGAGCGTAGTCAAAGCCAGGCGGTTTGTTCCGTCCCCCCCCCCCCCCCCCCGCGCCCCAGCTAGCTGAGGGCAGGCCTGCAGGCCGGGGTCAGAAAGCCCTCTGCCGTGTGGGAAGCAGCCCCTCACTTGACCCCAGTTCCGTCAGGGCACTGGCCCCACACCCTTCTCTTTCCTATTAGGACTATAAATCCAGCTGTGCAGACCTCAGCAGCCTCCTGCAAATTGAGCCCAGGAACGGCCCTGCACAGAAGTTGCAACAGGAAGTTAACCAGATCTTAAACTAAAACCCGAAGGGCAGCAGGAAACCTCTGCCTGACCTCCTTCCTCTGTGCCTGCTCCTGGGGCCCAGCACAGCTCCTCAGCCCCTCAGAGGCAGTGGCCCCCACCCCTTCAGAGGCTTTGCTTATTCAAATTAAGCTCAGTGTAGTCAAGCACAGATGCTGGTTTGCTGGAAAGGTCCCCATTAGCGCTGAAGCCCCGTTCCCCGGCCGCACATCACGCAAATTGGGCCTTGCCAGCAAAGCAGCCAACTCTGCCCTGCCCCAGGCATGTTCCAGATCAAGCGCTGCTCCTTTAGCTTCACCAGAGCCTCACTGTGGTTGCTCTGAGAGGGGGGGCTGAAGGGGCAAGGGCTAACTGGGAAGCCCTGGCCCAGCAAGGCAGCCTGGTGAGCTGGTTCTCTAGGGCTGCTGGCCCCCGAGTTCTGAGCCCAGTGCCTCTTGGTGGGCTCCCTTTGCCCCCTCTGGTGGGGTGAGAGGCCCTGCCCCGTGGATGGCTCAGTCGTGGCTCCGTGCTGCTGCCTCCCGCATGGAGGGGCCTGAGCTGTTCCAGAGCCGGCGGCTGGCCCTCTCCGAAGGTGGATGGGAGGCGGCCTTGGCCCAGGCAGGGGCTGCCCCTGACCCAGCAGTCTTCTTTGTGTGATGTTCAGTTTCACCTGCCTCCCGTTCTGTTGCGCTGTGTGATTAAGCTCTTGCATTAAAGTCTTCTACAGCAGTGTCTGTTACACTTTCATTTTGCTGTTTTAGCTTTGTGCTTGGAACTTTGAAGTTATAATAAATCTGTTTATTGAGATTCAAGCACTGAAATTTACTGAAGTGTATGCAGCGGCCAGACCATGTATGTGAATACACAGGCAGTCTCTGCTGTCAGAGGGCTGACAGTCTGGTTACCACACAGTGAAACTGCAACAGCTTCATTGTTTCTGAGGAATCATCACAATGCTTTACTTCCCTGAGGAAGCCAAGCTTGAAGAGGGTTATCACATGGGAATTGAGCTGCGGCAGCGGGGGAGGCAGAGGCCTTTCTGGGGAGCACAGGGACCAGAAGGTGCCCGCAGGTTCACAGGCAGCAGTGTGGAGGCGGCGGGAGAGTGCACTAGGGCCCAGCAGGAGCTAGGGGCTGCCGCCCCGCCTGCTGGTCCTCGCTCAGTTGTTTCACCTATGTGGAACAGAAGTGTGGGGACTCCAGACAGCAGGGCAGGCGGAGTGACCGTCCCTGGCCCCTCGTCACACAGGCTGAGCTACAGTTCGGCCCTGCCTACATCTGAAGGCTGGGTCACGGAGCTGAGGCGTGTGGCCAGGGCATTCCAGCGGGGGGCTGAGCCCCTTTCACTGCCACTTCTTCCGCAAGTGTGACTCTTACCTGATTTGAGGCAGGTGGAGAAGTGACATCCAGCTACAACTGACTTTCTTTTCGAGGTCTAGAAGGCAAGAATCTTTGTTTACTAGTGAAAAAAAGGGATGCCCAACAGGCTTCTTCCTGCAGAAGGAAGCCCTGATCCGGGAGGCGCCCTGAAGTGCTTTAATGACATCACAGCCCCACGCAACCTGGTGTGGGCACCCGTAGCTTCGGTCATCAGGGCCACAGGACAGCAGCTGCTAGCCGTGTCTGCGCTGGTGGCGGGCTTTTCCCGCATATGGACCCTCTGTGCTGCCTGGGTTCAGTTCCTTCGTGCCAAGCCTACCCTCTGCTCTGCCCCATCACCCTGGCACAAGGAGGCTTCTGGGAGACAAGATATTTTGCAGCACTTTTAATGCACAAAGCAAAAGGCAGCAGGCCGGTGGGCGCCCCGCCTGCATTCCACAGAGCTCCCGCAAGATACAGCCCAGCTGAGAAATAAGTTACAGTTTACGGGCCTAGAGCCACGCAAGAGCAGGAAGCGCTGTCCTGTCAGCCCGGAGCGGAGCGGGTGAGGGTTCCGTTTACTGGGCGTGAAAAGTAAAAAGTGTTTCCAAGAACAGCAGGCGCCCAGCCTTCCCCCGAGAACAGCGAGGAGGCCCAGGCAGGCCGGGCCCAGGGAGCTCCCAGCCCCTTCTGAGTCGGCCCGGAGGGCGGCTGCCGGGACATCTTCGCTTGCAGTCGCGTCAGCGCCCGCTCTCAGCGCCAAGCTTGTCTCCCCTTTGACCCTCAACTTCCCCCAGACGCCTTCCTTGGCGCCTCAGAAAAACAGTGCCACAGTTTCTCAGGGAGCTGGTGGAAGTCCCGGCAAGGTCTTCGCAGCTTCGGGGCTCAGCTGCTCGTCGCCCACCCACCTGACATCAGGGCACGACTTGCGTCTGCTCCACGGCCTGATGCGCCTGCAGCACTGCCAAAGCCTCGTCCACCTGTGGGACACATGGGGAGGACTGAAGTGACTGCCCCGGCCGGGGGCCGGGAGAGCCCGCCCAGCATGCCAGGCGTGAGCACACCTCTCCCTCCAGAGCGGTGCTGCTGCCTGTAAGCCCTCGTGACAGAAACCCGCCGTCAGCTCAAGACGTGAACACTGGACAGCCGGGGATTCGTAACCCTCACACTGAGAACGCCGCCCGCGCCCGGAGCCTGGCCTGTGGCGCTGCACAGCCTTCCTCTGGGGGGCTGGAGGAGCAAGCCCTCATTTTGGCCCTCTCCCATGCCAGGGTTCTGCAGGTATTAGCTGGCGTTCGAGACAAACTCCAGCTGCCTGCCCACCCCGCAGCCGCCTCCACGGGTAGCTCCGTGGCCCGCCCGGGCTCTGGCCCACCTTGGCGTGGAGGGACTCTGGCGACTCCAGCAACAGCAGCAGCTCCGAGTTGTCGACTTCCAGCAGCATGCCCGTGATCTTGCCAGCCAGCTGCGTGTGGACGTCGTAGATGAGGGGGTAGAGATGCTCACCTGTGTGCAACAGCTGATAGCTCGTACACACACCTCGCAGGCACCCCAACATCCCGGGGTAGTACCACCAGACAGAGCAGGGAGGCCTCTGGGCACAGGTCCCAGAACTGCCCCTGCCAGGCTGGGCCCCGTCACCGCCTGGGCGCCTTCCCCTGCCTGTTCAACAAGCACAGCAAACCCCGCCTTGGAGGGGCACATGGAGAAACAAGTTGTTTGTGAGGTGCTCTCCCTAGGCGCGACACCAAGCCGGTCGCCGTCTAAAGACCACTCTTTGGGCCTGTGCTCCAGCTTTGGGATGCATACATAAATCAGTCTATTAAAAAAAGAAAGCCCCCTCTTGTTCACTTTGCAAGAAACAGCTCCAGGTACACATGCCTACATGTCAGACAGGATATACTGCTGAACCTGACTTTGCAGGAGTGGGGAGCCAGACAGACAAGCTTAATTGACTTCTTGTAGGGACAGACCTGGAGGTGGTGGCCAGCCTCTCTGGGCAACACACAAGAGGGCCTGGCAGTAGGGGCTGTAGTGCCCCAAGTGAGAGAGGTTCTCCCATAGGAAAGTAGAGGTGCTTACTGGGGCTGCTGTCAGCTTTCTACCACCATTAAGGCCACGGTGAACTTTCCTTTGGGGGAGGCAGAACCCCAGGTGAACCAGGAAACAATGAGGGGACTGGCAGTAGGGCTCTTCAGAGTAGGGTCTAGCGATCTCGGTTAGCACGCAGAGATGAGCCTGCCGACTAGGAGCAAGCTTGCTCCTTCACTCCGCCGAGGGAGAGGACTTGCACCAGCCATGCAGTCAGTGGGGAACATCCATTTGCCCAGCACACTTATTTCCTACTCCGGAGAGGTGGGGATCTGCGGCGGGCCTTGATGAAACCCAAGATCAGGCACCTAGCTCCTCCCCGGCCCCTCCTCCACCACATCTGGGGTCTTTCCCAGCCTGAGTCCAGTAGAACCACAGAGCCGGAAACGTCTCGGGGCCTCTGGGCCGGCCAGGTTGTTAAGATGAGAAACAGAGGCCTAGAGAGAGCGCAGGCAACGTGGTGGGCAAGGTCACCCAGCGGCCTGGCCAGCAGAAACCTGGACCTTGTCCTGAGGTCTGGCCTGCAGGTCGGAGGCCTCCCACCAGGCGAGCCAGCCCTCAGCCCCCACTTCTGCTCCCGTGGGGAGCCAGACACTCACCAATCATCTGTTTCTGCTTGTGCGGCGGCGCGGCGGCCAGCATGGACGCTGTCAGGGGCTTCTGTCGCGTGGCGTGCGCCGCGGGCTCCCAGGCCTGCATGGGCGGGACACAGCCCTGAACACCAGCAGAGGGCGAGGCCTCAGCACTCAGCCCTGCCAGGTTGGGGTGCAGGGTACGGGGCTGGTCACAGAGGACTGAGCGGGAAATACTCTGGACCCCGGGACTAGGTTTCACTCTGATGTTGCCTGTTGCCAAATGCAGGCCACCCACTGCTGATCACTTTGCCTAAAATGAAGCCCTTTCTGACATGGAAGCAGCCCAAATGCCCAAAAGTGGATGGCTGGATTAGAAAGATGTGGTCCATATACACAATGGAATATTACTCAGCCACCAAAAAAAGAAACATGTCTTTTGCTGCAACATGGGTGGAGCTTAGTGATATAAGCCAGAAAGAAAAAGAAAAATATCGGATGGTTTCACTCATAGCGGGAATATAATGGAACAGGCGAGAAAATCACGATAATGATGAACAGCTACATACAGAGACATTTTGTGGGGGTGGAGTGGGGAATGGGATCAAAAACTGGGGGGGGGGGGAGGAATGCCCTGGTGATGGCACATGGGTGATTTGGTGATGGGAAGCCCAAGGGGATTACAACTGAGATGAAAAAAATGCACAAAATGATGTAAAAATAAACTATCATATTATTCATCAAAAATAAAACTAATCCAAAATTGAAGGGAAAAAAACGAAGCCCTTTCTGACCTGTTCGTACCCTGGAAAATTTACAATGCCTTTTTGCTGCCATGCTTGTGCCTGGTGCAGAAAATAATTGGAAGCATAGATTGTAGACAAGATAGAATGCCGCGCTTGAGACTGGCGTGGCGGGGAGGGGCAGGAAGAAACCCTCCTAGTTGAATTGCAGCTGATATTTTCAGTTCTGCTTTGCAGATTAATCATATCCTTGCCGCTCAACAACGACTAAGAAAATCTAAACTCACATTGGTAGGAACCCAAAGCAAAACAAATTGTAATTAACAAAATGAGCTGCTGGCCTCCTTTCCCCTGTCAGTAAGGGTGATCTCTTCTTGATCACTTTGATACTGCTCAGTGAAACTTCACCAGGCAAGACGAGAAAGAAAAGCAAGACCCAGAGAAGGCCAGCCCCTCCTCCGCTAAGTTCTGCGCCAGCACTCCGGGGCGCAGCTCCCAGGGCGGCCGACACTCACCCCGCAGGTGGCGTGTGATGCCGCAAGACATCTGTGCGTCAGGAGTGGGCCTCCTGGCATGCAGCATCCTGCCACACAGGGCCCTGTGGTCTGGGTGCCGATGTCGGCTGCAAGAAACAAGCAGGGACGTTGGGGCCCCGAGAGCCCCGCGAGGAACCTCCCCAAGCGGCCCACAGGGCCGGCTGGGAGAAGGTGTGCGACGTGCCCAGTGCAGGAAGGAGCGGATGCGCCTGCCTCGCACCCAGCTCTGCACCTGTCTCGCAGCTGCTGCTGGCCCGACAGGTTCAGGTCTGGCTCACGTGTGCTCACACCCTCCCAACCAAACAGGAGGATTGTTTTCATCTCTGCTTTAAAGAGGTGGCGACTAGACAGCAGTTAGCAGGGCCACTGAGGGAGCTGGTGCCAGGAACCGGGTCCGGGAACCGGGTCCTGCCGCTCCGGAGACTCCCAGGCCAGCCTGCTCTCCTGGCCGTGAAAAGAAGGTCACAGAAGGTAGGTGCTGACTCCCCAGCCTAGCTGAGCACCAAACCCTTGCCCCACCCTCCTCTGGGCCCTGCCCACACTTACCCACTCGTTGGGTGTGGGGCACCGGGTGCGGCGCCTGGGTGGAGGCCTGCCTCACGTTGCTGACATGGGCCGGGGGGTGCCAAGATGAGGGGGGGGGCTGGATCATGGAGGAAGCCGGGTGGCAGGTGGCTTGTGGAGCAAAAAACATGGAGAGAAGGATTTCAGGAGAGGGCAAGAGGGCAGGAGCCGGAGTGACATGCTGGGCCCACAAGTTTCAGGGTGAGGCAGGAAATGGGAAGAGGAACCAGAACATTCAGAATGATGAGGGAATACCCCTAGTCAAGCAGACCCAGAACTCCAGAGAGGCTGGTGGGTACCTGCAGTTACAAAGCCCCAAGATACAGCCATGTGGTGAGCAACACCTCCCTGAAGACAGTGTCAAGTCAGGGCGGGCTTCTCTCAGACAAGGGCCACGCAACACGCCCAGCACCGAGGCGTTTCATTTCCTCAGCTTTGCCAGAACTGTCACACATCAGACAGGTCTTGGAGCTAATTGAAGACAGTGGCTCTGGGGTGGGGGTGGGGGTGGCGGGGGAACGTGGGGAAAGGTCTTTAGGGCTCAGTGCTGTGCTGCTGTTTACACAGGCCTGTCAGGCCCACCTCTGAGGAGGAAACAGCCGCAGAGGAGGAAGCTACTGCCCAAATCACCACCCTGGGAAGTGGTAGGGCCAGCTTGACCCCAAAGCCCACTAGGTCACTCCAGCGCCACACACGCCCTGGGGACCCACACCCACGGGCCAGGCTGATGGGAAGGCGGAGTCACTCACAGGAGGGGCGAGGCGGCTGGGCCGTCCACCTGGGGGCCGGCTGGATGGGCGCTATGGGGCCGGAGCCGTAGTAGGCAGCCTGGGCTGGCGGCTGTGTAGGAGACGATGGCGGAAGTGAGGGGGGTGCCGCAGGGGAGGTGAGGAACTGCAGTCCCCCAGAGGCGTGGCTGCAGCCGCTCCACTATCCCCCCCCAGAGAGCTGGGGGGAGGCCCCGCCAGGCTGGGATGAAGGTCTCCGCTCCCCTCCCAGGGTGCCCACTCGCCCTGACCCCTCACAGGAGGTCTCGGCAGCCATCCTTGCGCCTCACAGCCCCGTGACCTGGATGAGCAGGTGTAACGGGCCAGCTGGAGCCACCGCTGAAGGGTGGGCATTTCCTGCTCAGTAGCCGTCGGCGGCTGGCATCTCTCTACTTCCACAGGCCTGTGGGTGTCCTGCCCAAACCAAGCTTCCCAGAGCAGTGACCTCCAGTGGCACCCCATAAAAAGTGGCCATCTAAGTTGGAGAGACGCTGGCCCTACTCTGCCAGTGTGGCGACGTCACACGCACGCACGATGGCTTGTCACTACAGAATAGTATTTGGCGTGAAAAAACCGAGGCTGCTTTGTTCGATGCATTTCCCAAGCCCACGGAGTCTCAGCAGCCTCAGCACAGCACCCACGCGTCTCGGTGGGGAGGTGCCGGGAGCCCCACTTATAGGCAGCGGAAGTGACCTGCCTAGTGGGTTTGTGACACAAGTCCGGAGCCCTCGGCGACCCATGAAGCTCCGGCTCCCCGGTGGTCACTGGAAGGACCCAGTGGGGGTCGTGGGCAGGCCGTCACCTGGGGCACGGCGGGCAGGAAGTAGCTAGTGGGCTGCTGGAAGGAGCCCAGCAGGGGGCCGCTCAGGGCCCGCACGGTGGACAGACGCTGCATGTGCTGGTTGGTCAAGATGGCCTTCCGCTCCTCTTTGCGCTGGGCCAGCGCCACGTACAGCGGCTTGGTGCCAACAATGCGCCCGTTCATCTCTGTCACGGCCTTCGTCGCCTCTTCTGGAGAGGAAAAACACACAAAGCCAAACCCCTTGCTGTGGCTACCCTCTGTCATCACCTAAAAGCAAGACAAGACAAGGGCTACTGGGGTGGGGAGCAAACTCCTGGGCCTGCTCCCGCCCCCGGGAGGGCCCAGGAGACACCCGCCACCCTGGGGGGAGTGCCTCCCCACATTTACTGAGGCGCACTGCATGCCAGATGCCGACACGGCTCCTCGCGTCACGCACAGCCGAGCCAGGGAGAGGAGGCGGCTGTCATTTGCAGTGAGGGGGTCGGGCCAGGCCCCTTCCTAGGTGAGGCCTGCTCTCTGGCTTCCACCCATCACCCAGTGAGAACATCTGCACTTCAGAGTTTTGCTGTATCTGCCTGCATCGGGGGGAACGTAAGGAAGAACAGGTGCTCTAGGGTTGGTTAAACTCTTTAAGAATGGAGCAGGGGGCCTCTGTGGTGGCGCAAGGGGTGAAGTCTCAGCACTGTGAAGCCACAGCGGCCAGGGAGCTGACCCACATGGCGTAGTCTGCAGGCCTCTCCTGTCTCCCCACTGCTCCCTCAGCAGTGTGTTTCAGCCAGCCCACCTGCCCACCTGTTCTGTTCCCCCCTCTGTCTCTGGTGAGTCCTCTCACCTGCTGTGCACCTCAAGACTACACCCGTTATTCTATGCAAAAAAAAAAAAACAACACCTTCCTGTTTAATAACCCAATTATCCACTTAACAAGCCTGTCACCCCAGGAGTGCTTCCACTCCAGACAAGACAGAGTTGTTCAGTCCCCTTCCAGGAGGATCCCACAGGGCATGCGTGTGAATGATGAGAGCCACCTCGGCTTCAACCCCTTGTGGGCAGCTGCGCTACATGAGCCGCCGTCAGACACCTGCAGATAGGATGCTGACCCCGCTTTATAGAAGGTGCCCAGGGTCCGAAAGGCAAGGCACCGCCCCCCACCCACAGCCAGCCAATCTCGCTCTTAGAACCCCTGAGACTCATGGAACCCCCGACTCACTCCAGTCCCAGCCTAACGCACATTTACCGGGAAGTAGCCCACAGCTTCTGATGTTCAGTTAACTTACAAGTCTCATGGCTTCTGTCACGATCTTTGCAAAAGGCGCTAAATTCAACAGTGACGAGAACCACGCCCTCCTCGGTGGTGCACTGGGCTAAAGCGCAGCGCTACAAAGCTGTCGGCAGCCCCTGCAGCACGAGTTTGATCCCTGGCCAGGGAGTGACCCACATGGCACAGCAGACCTGTCTCCCCGCTGCTCCCCTCAGCAGTGTACTTTGTTAATCTGCCTGCTCTGCTCCCCACTCTGCCTGGTGAATCCAGTCACACTCCCCCGCCCCACACACGTCTGGCCTGTATCCCAGTTCTTGTATGCATAAATACATAACTCTTAAAAAAAGTTGTGAGAACCTCTTATCCACGTGGCTCCCTAGTGGAAACTGAGGCCAACAGGCATCGCCACAGACCCAAGAGCAGGTCACCAGCCCCAGCAACCACACAGGTCTCTCTGGCAAGAGCCTCCTTCCCACCTGCGGCTCCCTATCTTCTCACAGCCAAGTCAAATGCTGCTGCCCCTTCTTAAAGGAAGCCCTCCTTCCTGTTCCACTCCGCTCCCCAAGCTCCACCTGCAATATTTACCTCCCCTTCCCTGCCCAGACAGCTGGTAACAGATTTGAGTTAGTGACGCATCTGACTTCCCCTAGACTATACACTATTCAAGAGCAAGTACCACATCGGACTTCTTGCTTTCCTAAAGGGCGCCATAAAACAGCAGGTGCTGTAGTATGGAATGAACATTGAGTCCCCTTCAAGTCATCTGGGGAGCTTTATAAAACAAAACAAAACAGGGCCCTCCCTGGTGGCGCTGCGGGTTAAAGCACTGCACTAAGAAGCTGAAACCACTTCCGCATGAGTTTGATTCTACCTGCCCCGGAGATGACCACATGGCGTGGCAGACCTCTCCTGACCTGCCCGCTGCTCCCCTCAGCAGTGTACTTCGTTGATCTGCCTGTTCTGCTCCCCACTCTGTCTCTGGTGAAGTCTTTCACCACCCCTGAGTCTCTGGCCTGTACCCCAGTTCTGTATGCACAAATAAATAAATCTTTAAAAAAAAAAAAAAACAAAAACACCCAGGTCCTACTCCCAGAGATCTGCTTTCTGTTCTGACTCGGGTCTGTGTGTAAGTGTGCCCAGGGGGTTATAATGAAAAGCCAAGACCAAGAACCTTCCAGCCCAAGGCTGCCCTCCTCCAGATGAGGCCTAGAAGACAGCTGCTCGTGTCACAGCGCAGAAGGCCAGCTGGCACACTCGGGAGAGTGGACACAGACCAGGGCTCTTTGCGTGGGCAAGAGTGAGACACACCAAGCCTCTTTTTCAGATGGCAAAGATGAGGCCCAGAGGGATCATTTTATCAGCAGCTAAGGCCAGGCAACAAGTCAGCAAATCCTGAGACACGAATTTCTAGAATCTGGCATACAGCAGGCACTCAATAAATGCTTGCTATGTGACCGAAGGTTTCAGTGAGCCCCGTAAGTTCAACTGGGAGTCTGGGGCTGCATTTCCACTCTTCCCCTGCAGACAGGCCGCAGAAGGACAAGAAGCGCCAATGGCAACAGACTCCACAGGGAGGGTAGCTGCGCACCAGCTCCCTGGACGCCTCGGGGCGGGGTGCTGGGTGCTGGGGCAGTGAGGACGGCGGGGGAAGCTGTGCCCGTCCAGCCGCCCTCACCTTCGCACTGGTAATCACTCCGTAGGGAGAGAACTCTTTCCTCAGCTTCTCGTCGTCGATGGAGTCATCTAGGTTCTTCACATACAGGTTCACGCCCTGGAAGGAAGCGACTGATGGTCGTGCCACTGCCCCTTGGCAGAAGCGGCCAGGGCGGGCCACCACGGGCCACTGGAAGCACTGCCCACCGAGCGCGCTGCTCCTACCTGGTCCTCAACGGAACCGTCCACCCCAGCGTCACCCAGAATCTGCAGCGCCCGCCATCCCCAAAGCGGGGCTCGCAGAGGCTGTTGACCCAACCGGGCCTCCGCACACACCCAAGCAGCGGTGGCGCCCTCACCTGGTAGCGGTTCAGCCGGTCTTGCTTTATCTGCTCGAACCGGCGCGTTAGCTCCTTCTGCCGTTCCACGCGCTTCTGGGCCCGGCCCACGTACAGCAGCCGGCCGCTCAGCTCCTTCCCGTGCATGGCCGCCACCGCCTGCGGGAAGCGGCAGACAGGGCTCAGAGACACAGCTCAGGCCCTGGGCTCCCTCCTGCCAGGCCTGCGGGGCTCCTGCCCCCGCGGAGAGCAAGTAGACCTGACAAAGGCCGTTTGGAACGAATCCACTTTTTTGAAACATGCAACACAATCCCAGACTAGATGGTTGCTTCACAATTTTTATTTGGGCTCTACTTTAAAAGTGAAGTTGAACTTTGTAAGTTTTCCATATTCAAGATTTAGGTTCTAACTGACGGCACGTTATCTGAACACAGCAGCAAGTGTAATTCTTTGAAAAGGGCACGATGGCACAATGAACACCCTGCATCCTGGACTTCACAGTGCCAGGAATCCTTTTTGCCATCTATGTGGCTTTTCATTAGCTTTTAAGATTTATTTTACATACAGAACTGGGGTACAGGCCAGAGGTGCAGGGGCAGTGAGAGGATTCACCGGACACAGAGTGGGGAGCAGGACAGGCAGATTGACAAATTACACTGCTGAGGGGAGCAGCAGGCGGGGCAGGAGGGGTCTGCCGAGGCGCCTTGTGGGTCACCTCCCTGGCAGGGATGGAACTCGCGCACTTGGGGTGAAGCCACAGCTGCTAGCTTCACAGTGCTGCACTTTAACTCACTGTACCACCAGGAGAGTCCTCATTAGCCTTTCAAGAAACATTGTGTCTTAATCCTGGTGGATTTTTCTTTTCTTCAGATAAGGGGCCAAAGCCTGCCAGATCCCAAGGTGCCTGTGGTTTGAGTTGCACAAAATCATACACGCACACGGTACACAGCTTCTCTCTGCAGTCCTTTCGTAGGGAACCAACCTGCATTGACTCAGCCACAAAAGTCAGCCAGAGACAGACCCACCGATGGACTATCTCAGTAGTGGGGCTTTAGACACTGATGTTTCAAGTGCTCAGTTCATTTAGTAAATATTTGCACATAATGCCTTTTGCTCCCCACCTAAACAGGCCAGCACTAGAAACCCAGGAGCTGCCTGTTCAAAGTCAGTCTTCAAAGTCATTACTTTGGTCTCTGAGCTCTTGCAGCCCGTGGGCCCCAATGCTTTCACTGGTTCTTGTCATTTTACAACTGGAAACTAAACTATCAGAAGGGCTGACTTGTCCAGAGATACACACAAATTACCTTTCAAAGATGCTGTTTACTTAAGAATAAAACTTCAGGATCTCCCTGACAGTCTAGGGGTTAAGTCTCAGCACCATCACCCTACAGCCTGCCTGAGTTCAATCCCCGGCCAGGGAGGTGACCCACATGGCGCAGCAGACCTCTCCTGCCTCGCCCGCTGCCCCCCTCAGCAGTGTATTTCAGTAGATCCGCCTGTTCTGTTCCCCACTCTGTTTCTGATGCATCATCTCCCCTCCCCCTGCCACCTCTGGACTACACCCCAGTTCTACACACACACTCAAACTTCAGCATAAGAAAGCCCTGGTTCTGATTCCAGCAACCGCTCTTACAAGCTACAACCTTATGGGACCTCCGTGTCCCTCTGTAGCTACCCACAGGAGCACCCTGTGCAGAGACGAGAATGGCGTACAAAGCCCTTAGCTCGGCGGCTGGCAAGGGGCAAGTTGCTCAGGTGCAGCGAGGGCTCTGGAGAGAGCACCAGCCAGAATCCACCCCGAGCTGAAATCGCCCCTGCCAGAGATCTCAGCGGGCTGCAGCATCGGAAAGGGCTCTGTTCAGGGAGGCTGAAGAAGACACTCCTTTTACTGACTGGGTGACCTTGGACATTCCTACCTTCAGCTAATATGTACCTGGTACCTACTGGCAGGGGCAATGTTCGAGAGTCTGTGGAGGTGAGAGACCCAGCCCCCACCTTCAGTTCTACCACGTGGAGACCGAAGAGGCATTTCCTGAAGGAGGGAAAGTACACACTGATAAATGCCAGGCACCAGGTGTACTCACGTGCCACTTAACAGCCACGACGGAGCCCCGTGCCCTGGTGCTCCCAGTGGGCGTGCCCTACAGCTGGTGTGGGCAGGGTGTGCCATCTCCGTGCAAGACAGTACTTCCTGAAGTCCACACAACACGAAATCCCCCAAGGGCGCACTTCTCAGGAAACCCCTACGCGGTCTAGGGAGGCGTCAGCGCCCCCTTGCGGCGAGTCTGGATGGCTGCGCTGTCACCAGGTTCCTGATGAGCGCACAGGAGTACAAATACTCCATGTTTACATGGAACACACAGTAACAGGATAATGGTTTAAGATGAATGAAATCACTAAAACTGAACTGCGATCTACCCTTTTTATGTGGCGCCTAGGAAATCTGGAAGTGCACCTGTGTCTAGGGCTGTATTTCCACTGGACAGACTGGTCTACAAAGCAGAAGGCGCGGCTCTCCCTGGTGGTGCAACAGATGAAAGCACCGCTTAGGAGCTTTCCCCAGCCACGGCAGCTCGAGTTCATTCCCCAGCCAGGGAGCTGACTCACATGGCATGGCAGAACTCTACTGACTTTGTGACAGTGTACTTTGGTCAATCTGCCTGTTCTGCTCCCCACTCTGTCTCTGGTGAATCCTCTCACCATTCCTGCACCTCTGGCCTGTACCCCAGTTCAGTATGCATAAATAAATCATAAAAAAAAAAAGCAGAGGGCGCAAGGAGTTAAATCACAGCACTATGAAGCTGCCTACAGCCACTGCAGCAGGGGTTTTAACCCCTGCCAGGGAGTGAACCACAGGAATACAGCAGACCTCTCCTGTCTTGCACGCTGCTCCCCTCAGCAGTGCATTTCAGTCGATCTACCTATTTGCTCGCCACTCTGTCTCTGCCGACTCCAATCACACCCCCACACCTCTGGGCTGTACCCAGTTCTTGTATGCATAAATAAATCTTTTTTTTTTTTAATAAAAAAGCAGAGGGAAAGTGTTGAGAGAAAACAGCATTTTCAGTGGTCTGAAAGCCAGAAGTAATGGCAGTTTGTCCTCCCTAGCTCCATCCTGTCAACTTAAGAAAATGGTAGTGAGGTCTCAGAGGGCCCCTCCTACCTCCCACATGGCAAGAATCTACAAGAAGCGTGCCTCAGGGCTTAAAAGCAACCAAGGGCCCTCCCCGGTGGCGCAGCAGGTTAAAGCACAGCACTCAGAAGCTAAAGCTGCTTCCGCGTGAGTTCAATTCCCGCCTGCCTGGGAGGTGACCACATGGCGCAGCAGACCTCTCCTGACCCGCCCGCTGCTCCCCTCAGCAGTGTGCTTC